CTAAAACTGTGCGGTCAAAATAACTGAGTGACTAGGAACCTGACCAAATGAAATGCCTCTGTTAATTATCTATTTCCAAATACATGCACTAAAAGACAATTTAAGGTTCTCAACAACATAATCCAGCTATTGTCCAGGGCCTTGTGATCACAGTTGTACAAGGTGCATTTCCCTAGTTCTACTGGAAAGCACCTATTTTAAGATGGCAATTTCTATGTCATCATATTTCTAGTTACTGTCTCAGAAATCCTTTAGGAAGCCGTGAAGGGGATTACCACCTCAAGGCCACTTGGTTCAGCTTCTCTCCCTAAAAGCACTGATTGTTCTCCCCCTGCAGTTTGATCATTCTCCACTAGATGGCAGTGATATACTGTGTATTACTCTATACGAGGTGCGCAATTAAGACTAAACTGAGGAATCGCTGTAGCCAGCAAGTTTTTCCAAGCCAAAGTTCTAATTCAGCTAATTGCCTTCTAGTCGAAATGGACTCAAAGCTGATGCTCCAATAGGGCTTTTGGAGACTGTAAATGACAGAACAAGATCCCCCTCTTTCTCCTAAGGAGCTGCTGGTGGATTCAAACCACTTACTTTAAGCTCTGGTGGCGCCAGTGCAAAGGTAAATGGTTCAAATTCACCAGCTGCTCCACGGGAGAACTATGGGTAATCTCCTTCCATGTGATTTACTGCTTTTGAAAGCCTACTGCAGGCTTGGTTCTATACAATTCAATCTGTATGCTGAGCAAATGATCTGAGAAGCTGGACTCTATGAAGAAGAATGTGGCATCAGGGTGGGAGGAAGACTCATCACAACACTCACTCATCGACAGTACTCAACCCTCACCAACACCTTGGTTAGCACAAGTCCTTACTCACTCGGCTACCTGAGCTCTCTAAGCCAAAGCCAGTGGGATGAAACAGCGGAGAGGAGAATAAAGAATTTTCTAGCGTGCATAAGGATAAAATGCACTTAGAAATGAGGATGGTGAGATCTCATCTCATCTCACATACTTTGGACATGTTATTAGGAGAGGCCCGTCTCTGGAGTAGGACATTGTGTTTGGTAGAGCATCAAAGGAAAACAGGAAGACTCAACAAGACGGCTGGACAGAGAATCTGCAAAGATAGGCTCCAAGTCATGAGTGTGATGACTGCGTAGAACCAGGTGGTGCTGCGTTCTGTCCTTCAGGGGTGGGAACTGGCTCACCTGCACCCAACAACAATCCTGATTGTGGAAAATAAGAAACTAATGAGTGAGAAGTAGAAGAATGGCACCCACGAAATGAAATTCTGCTAAATGCGGACATGCAGGAGTCAAACCCAAAACCCACTATGTGAATTCAAACTGCCAGCCTTTTGCTTCACAGCCCAGTACATTATGCACGATGCTACCAGAGACCCTTTACAGAAGGATCTATAAAGAGAAGGTAAATGTTTCCGTGCTCCTACTGAATGATCCACTACAAATTATGGTTAATAGAGAAGAATGGTAATCCCAGAATTGTGCTCATGTGAAGCCTTTATCTAACCCACGGGCTGTTGTCTGAATGGAGCAAGGGAACACTATATGGTTTAAAGTCAAAAGAGTACGTCAGGATTGTATTCTCTCTCCATATCTATTCATTCTGTTTGCTGAGCAAATTACTTGAGAAGCTAGACTCTATGAAGAAGAATGTGACATCAGGATAGGAGGAAGACTCCTCAATAACTCACATTATGCAAATGACACAGCCTTGATTGCTGAAAGTGAGGACGTGAAGCCCTTGCTGCAGAAGATCAGAGAATACAGCCTTCAATATGGATTACTCTCAACATCAAGAAAACAAAAATTTTCAACCCTGGAATGATAGGCAACTCATGATAGATGGAGAAATGACTGAAACTGCCAACAACTTCACCTTAGTTGGATCCACAGTCAACACCCTTAGTGCTAGCAGTCAGGAAATCGAGACATATTGCACTGGGAAAGTCTACAGATAGGGACCCCTCCAAATTACTGAGGAGCAACGATGTCAGTTTCAGGACTAAGATGTACCTGATTCAGGCCATGGTCTTTCCAGTTATTTGCTATGTATCTGAGAGCTGGACAATGAATAAAGATCACAGAATTGATGCCTTTGAACTGTGATGTTGGAGAAGAAAACTGAATATCCCACGGACTGCCAAAAGAAAAAACACAGATACATGTCTTGGAGAAAGCACAGCTAGAATGCTCTTTGGGAGCAAAGGTGGTGAAGCTTTATCATACATACTTTATTTTTGTTTATTATTATTAAATTTTATTCGTTTCAATGAACATTCACAGGGATTCTGGGCTTTCACTCCTTCATTGCCGCACCATTCTCTCCACCCTCCTCCCCAGTTTGTTCTTCTTCCCCGCCATCCGAATGTCTGTTTTAATTGTCCAATTGCCACAGTGCTTGTCAAAGTCAGTTCTGATTAATCTCCTTTGTCGGTGTGTCCTTTGCCATTCCCTATCACTCCTCCCTCCCTGAGAGAGACTTCACTCTGAGTCATAAGGAAAAGGGGATGGCGTATTCTCTTAGCTACTTCCTGCTGAAAAGGGACACTGTGGGTTTCAGGGTGAAGATCTTCTCTTACTACTCTAAAGGGCCCCTTTGGCAGTAGTATATTGCTAGAAGAGATTATTCCTTGGAAAGGGAGAGGGTCAACCAAAGAGAGGAAAACCCTCAACCGGATGGATTGGCACAGTCACTGCAGCAATAGGCTCAGGTGTGTCAGAGGTTGTGAGGTTTGTACAAGATAGGACAAGGTTCAGATCTGTTGTTCATAGGGTTGCTATGAGTTGTACTCAAGTTAACAGCACTGAACAACAGCAGCACAGAATGAAGGAAAAATGAAGTCCAAACATTTGACTAAAAACTAGCATTTAAATAGAAAGGCCACCTTCATTTAGGGAGCTTTGGTGACCTACTGGCAAGAAGCTGCACTGCAACCTCGAAGGCATGTGGTTCGAGGCCACCACCAGCTGCTCCGTGAGAGAAGGATGGGCAATCTCCTCCTGTGCGATTAACTGCCTCTGAATAGCTGCCGGAGGGTCGGTCAGCTATGGGTGGGATCCAACTCTACAGCACACAACAACAGTAAGAACCACCTTCATTTAGAAGGAGCTTCTGGGGCGTAGTGGCTTACATGCTGATCTGCCAGCTGAAAAGTTCCTGGTTCAGATCCACCATCTGCTCTGGGGGATGAGGAAGTTGACTCCTGTTAAGATCTACAGCTTTGGTAAGCCAGTGAAGGTTACCATAACTTAGAATTGACTTGATGGCAACAGTGGGTCTGGTTTTGTTGGATTTTTTAAACCTATCATTTAGGGGGCAGTGGTGTCTCAGTGGTCAAATCCTCATCTTCCTGTGTGGGAGACATGGCTTTGATTTCAGCCAACACACCACCACTCATGTTAGTGAATACATGTATTTTTTTTTTAACTTGTGTGCTGTCTAATCGGATCCGACTGGCATAGGAAGAGATTGTTCCTCCTTCTCCAGCTGAGCATCTGGTGGATTTGAACGGCGCCTTCGGGATTGCAGCACAGCTTCTTGCCACTAGGCCACCAGAGCTCCCTGATACATGTGTTTCTATGATGCTAAGCAGGTCTCCAACCTGCATTAACGCAGATGACACAACCTTGTTGGTTGAAACTGAGGAGGACCTGAGGTGTCTGCTGCAGGTCAAGGACTGTAGTCTTCAACACAGACTGAAACTCAACATCAAGAAGACAAAGATTCTCACTGCTGGGCCAATTGGCATCATCATGATAGATGGAGAAGAGATTGAGGTTGTTAACAGCTTCAGTTTGCTCAGTTCCCCAGTCAACACTCTTGATACCAGCAGCCAAGAAATCAAAAGACAAATTGCACTGGGAAAATCTGCTGCCAGGGACCTGTCCAGAGTACTGAAGAGCAATGATGTCAGTTTCAGGATTAAGGTGCACCTGATCCATGCCATGGTCTTCAAAATTGCTTGCTATAGGTCAGAGAGCCAGACAGTAACTAAGGATGATAGATGAAGAATTGATGTCTTTGAGTTGTGGTATTGGAGAAGAGTATTTAATATACCATGGACTGCCAGGAGAACAAACAAGTCTGTCCTAGAGAGGGTGAAACTAAACTGCTCCTTGGAGGCAAGGTTTTTGAAACTTGATCTCGTACTTTGGGCATGTTGCCAGGAGGAACTGGTCCTTGGAGAAGGACATCATGCTTGGAAGGGTAGAGCACAGGAGAGGAAGACCCTGGATCAGATGGATTGGCACAGTGACTGGGGTAATGAGAGTTGGTGTATCAGAGATTGTGAGATTGGCTCAAGGTAGGGTAGGCTTTTGAGCTGCTGTACATAGGGTTACTATTATGAGTTTCAGGGACTTGTAATAACAACAAAACAGGTTTCAGCAAAATTTCTAGACTGATATGCTAGGAAACCAGGCCTGGTGATCTGCTGCTGAAAATCAGTCAGTAAGAACCCTGTGGGTTGCAAGGGTCTAACTCACCGCAATCCCTAAATTTTCAGGCCCAGTATGGAGAGCAGTGCTTCGCTCCACTGTGCAAGGAGTTTCTGGGATTTGGGGGTAACACGGCAGCAGCTCTGAGCAACAATATGAAATACATATCTTTGTAATGTAATACTAAATTGTAATGCATAAAAATGATCACTGATAGGTCTCAGAAGTCATCTGGCCTCATTTCCATAGCTGGAAAACTCTTAGGCATTACTCATCTGATTGTTGAACAATTCCTTTCTCAGAGACCCAGATACCATCCAAACAGCAGGTGAATTTGATACAAGTTCAGTGTTATCTCCTTCAAGCATTAACTCATCTTTCCGGACTTGTGATGTGGAGTAAGCCATGTCCAGCTTCACCTGAACCATACAAATGTATTTTAACCTAAAAACCTTCTCATTTCAATAAGAAAGCCACTCTCCCGAATTAGGGCCTTGATGGGCAATGAATACACACAGACCTTATCTTGTAACGAAGTCCAGTGTCACGCCTCAGTCATGTTCAGTGTGTGACCAGATAGTGCAAATGTAGCCGTTCCCCACCAAAGCCTCGTCTCTTCCCTTCCAAGGACACTGAGTTCTACACTGATGTGACTGAAGTCCCTCCACAAGGTTCCTCTCTTCCCTCCCAAGGATACTGAGTTCTACACTGAAGTGATTGAAGTCCCTCCACAGGTTCCTCTCTAGGATTTTTCACAGTAACTGTGCCCCTTCTGGGTGATGTGGGCATTTTCTGGAATGGTTATAGCCTCGTTGCTGAGAATGGTCTTCATCCTTGAAGATGTGACCAACAACATGAAATTTAAAAAGTAACTGAAGATGGTCTCAAATGCTCAGTTATTCTTCTGAATTCAAATATTAACGTTCAGAACAGCTAAAGAAGCCAATCCACAAGTTAGGACCATTTTGCCATTACTGACAAACCTTCCCACCCTTGAGTGTTGGGTCAACAAGTGAGTATCAACTCGGCAAAGGACAAAGACTTTTTAAAAGAGCAAAGAATGAAGGGTATTAGGCATTACAAATGCTTCTTTGGATTACTTGAAAGGACACTTCTGCTTCAACAGCGAGCTAGCACGTCAACATTTACCTTTTTGTTATTTACACGTATTAACGTTTCCCCATTATTTTATCCCTACTTTAAATACACACTTCAGCGGGTGAAATCCATCCTGACAGAAGCAGTATGCCACCAAAGTAAACACAAATGTCCTTTACCAGGGCGGATTACCCAGTGAGCCAGGCAGGCGCGGGCTTCCTCACTAATCTGCTGGGAACAATTGCACAAACTTTTACGCTATTAAAACTGTAAAAAAAAAGTGTAAAACTGTTTACTGCAGACTAGTGAATGAGCACAAGCAACCCACACTTACTTTGCATATGGTGCCTGAGGCCTGGCAGGGACTGAACATGTGAAAGGGAGCTTTGATTTTGTAGGGGGGGGTGCAGTGGGCTTGGGAAAGACACAGATGCTGGTGGACTAAGAGCAGAATCTTGGGTGTGGTGAAAAAATAGAAAATTGTTCACAACAGATTAGGAAGTAAGCTTAAGTAAGCCGGTGCTCACCTTGCTTTTGGGGTCACCCCGTACTATCCTTACCCTCTTCTTCTGGGCCTGAAACTACCCACATACGTTAACTCCCCCAGTAACCTGGGGCAGAGAAATCAGTAGACGGGGGAGTGAGGGGTGGGGGAGAAACACAGACGCAGCAAGTTCTGCAGCGGCAACATCTGTAGATGTAGCGTGGATTCTCTGCTCCCCGTGAGACCTCCCCAGAAAGAACCGGGAAATATTCTGGGAGGGAGAAGTGGCTCTGGAGAATGAAGACTACAGGGAAATGATCGCATCAGGACAAAATGACAGAAAGCCAAAGCCTTCAGAGCTCAGAGAGGAAATATGCCACAAGGCCTCAGATCAGCTGGCCCAGGAGGCTTAACAAGGAAGCCATTAGGGGCTCCCTGCCGGGCCTAATTGTTTTTAGAACATATGGTACTTTGTGCCACCACCCAGCTGTGAATTCCCTGGCTTTTGTCAGCTTGTGTCACAACCTTAAGAAGAAAGGAGCAGCTTAACCCCTCCTTCCATTAATTTACTATATTTTTTCTTATTATAACCTCCTATACAAATGTAAAGCAACTGGACCATATATAAACGACGCATCTCCTCCACTTGTAATTGTGTAAAGAAAACAGCATGACCATCACAGAAAGGCAGCAGTGGGCAGCATAGCATAACAGAAGCTCAAACAATACTGAGTGTATTGGGTCTGCTTTCAAAACGTTATTTCATGATACATTCATCTTGGTCGCTGGGTACGGGCCAAAAATCATTTAATGCACAACAAAAATTTCATAAAAGCTTTTAGCATTTATTAAAATTAGAGTAGGAAACATATTCCTTTTGAGAAGAAGGTTAAATGGAAAATAAAGTTTCGTTTATAAAATGTTGAACTGAAAATAAGTTTAACATAATGAATTTGTAAAAAAGAAGACAACTCAATAAATATTTGTTGAACAGAACTGAAAGGATGACGAAAATTCAGAGAAACAGCTTGTCCTAAAGATAAAGTACATGAATTATTACACATTTAAAGAATTCTATGAGTACTTAAAAAAACCAAAATTCCTCACTTGATTAATTAAAACCCTTGAGACCCAGTGAGGAGAAAAAAAAATTCCTCTCAAATTTTTAAAAATAAAGATCACATGACCCTTTGGCTAAGATTTTTAACTGACTAAAGCAGCAAAAATATAATAACTCCCAAATCATAGTACTAATATGATTAGAACTCAAAGGATGTGTTTCCCTAAAAAAATAACCAGATCGACATGTTCGGTTTGTTTTAAGAAGATCTACAAAAGTTAACTTTTCACTGATGACAGTCAGCATATTTGCATCTGGACTAGTTTCGAGAACCAAATTACAAACCCCAGAATACAGAAACATCTGCTCAGCTTTAATCACAGAGCCACGCCCCACAGCCCCGCTCACAGCAAGTCATTCCTATGGGTGGTGGTGGGTTGTTGTTTTTTTCTTCACAGTAAGTAAATTGGCATTACAAGTCCAATATCATAGAACCAAAAATACTATGAATATTAATTTAAAATCTTAAGCAATAGTAGTTACAAAAACCTCAAAGTTTCTAAAAACATTGTGCAGTGTGAGTCAGCCCACTCCATTCAGAACGGCAGCATCTGTGCAGGCCTGAGCCTGCCCGGATAATCAGACCCCACAGTCGAAGCTTTTGGTTTCTTTTAAATTTACTGAAAATATAAAGCAAATCTAGTTTTGGTGATAAAAATATAAAACTATTCTATAGCAATGAAAATGCACAAAAATAGACAGTATTGGAAATTCTGTAGGTTTATCCAGTAAGATAATAGTTACTGACCTCTAAATTTTTGGATTAAAAAAAAAATCAGGAATTAAATCTTTGTTTTATTTTGTAAGTTAGAATTGTAATAATGCTGTCAACATCTTCCTTCATATTTATACTTGTGATCACCAATTTGTGGAGGCCTGGACACAGTCCTTTAAGAGTTAGGCTAACCAAAAGTTCAGCTCTTTGAATCCCCCTGGAAGCTGAGTGGGAGGACAATGGAGCAGCCTGGGGAACCTCATGGGCAGTTCTACTCTGACCTTTCAGCTTGCTGTCTATGAACTGGAATCAACCTGATGGCTCAGTTTTTGAATTACTGATTCGCTAAAAAAGAATTTAAAAATCCACAGAGATTAAAAAACACAAACTTTCCTGGAAGGCTCACCAATAAAATTACCATTTTTTCAGACCCTGAAGTAGTGAATTTCAGCTGAGCTGGGCCCTGGAGGGAGAGGCAACTTTCTCCAGGAAATCACTGCTCACCCGACCCACTGCTCATCTATTTCTCCAAGAAAAAGGAATCAGACATCCTTTGGGTCCACACAACTGTTTTTTAATCTTTTGTGAAAACCAAACATTGTTTACTAAAGTGGTTTTTCTGTTGTTTCCAGACTAGGTCCTCCCAGAAACAACTAGTTCTGGAGAATTTTGATGTTTTACAGCAAGGACTAAGCCTGGGGAAGAAAGATGCTATCTTCCTGAAATGCTCGCCTTACCTTTCCTGAGGGCCACCCCCCAGCTGGAAATACCCCACTCCAGAGAGTGGAGTTAAAGGCTAAGTTATTCGTTATGGAAGGGCTGTTTAGTTAGGGGAACTGGGACAGGATTCAAGGCCAAGGCCTCTTGATTTTTAAGTGAAGACTCCAGCTTGCCATTAATGATTATGGAGAAGCCTGCCTTGTCCAGGATGCTGACGCCCTCTTAGGTGCGAGAAGCCGGCTCCAGTGGCTGAACCTTAGTGCAGCTTGTTGTGCACAGGGTAGAGTAAGGTCATGTGTTCTGCTCCTTTGAAAGGCAACTTTTCATTGGAATAATAGTGTACCACTTCAGGGATGCTGTCAAACACGGCGCTTGTCTGATTCAGTGTGTATTTGTTGTCTTTGGTCTGAGCCACTATGATGTGGACACATCCTTGACTAGTCCTGTAATAAGACAAAAGTGAGGGAGACATGGATGAGTGATGTCACCATCATGGGGAGCCATCCTGGTCAGGACAGGCTGCTGGTTTCTTACCCCTTCCCAGAGCTGTTCTTTAGACACAGAACACACTCAACGCCCATCCCCTCGGCAGAGCTCTCAGACGCTTCCAGCCCTTGGCTCAGTGTGTGTCATCCTTCAATTGTTTCTCTTGATACCCATCATCACGTACTAGACCGAGAAAACTAACAAACAAAAAAGAAGTCTTTGCTTCCCTTAAAGTGCCAAACAAGTGCTGAAGCCCAAGAACCCCACTGGCGTGGTGTCTAACCCTCTCCTGCATGGCTGAAAGGGCCTAGGTTCTCCATGCTCTCTTCCTAAAGGACATGTGAATATTATAAGAAATTATATAAAAGAGCATATTGACAAAGGTGGCTATACCTTTTATGAGCAGCTTAGGAGACAGGGCACAGATACTAGTAGTGAAGGAATAATTTGGAACAGGACAGAGACAATGACTGCACAGTTTAAAGGATGTAATCAATTAGACAGGCAGAAATTGTTGAATCCATGTACGCTTTGCTGTATGTCCTCCAAAATAAACAAGCAGGAAAGGAACACATGGATAATGAAAAAAACCAAAACGGTTTCCCCTCCCACATCTGGAAAGTCTGTTCTTAGCTGTCTGTAATGACAGCTGGCACCAAAAGCTCCAAGATCTAATCCACAAGCGCCATTTCAGAAGCAGAGCTGAGCTATTCCTGGGATTGTGTGTCTGGTGGCCTCTCCCGTTCTCTGAGCCAAGGCGCTCCAGCGCGGCCCCCACCACTTCCCCCTCCAGCCTGATTGTTTCAGCTGCAGGGGCTCAGCTTCCTCAGGAAGGAAGTGCTGTGCGGGCTCTTGACAATGATCCTCCAATATAGCACCACTGAACTCCAGAGCAGAGAATTTCCATGCTACACTCTGCCAGGCCGATCAAGCAAAATGTATTTTCTGTATACAACCAGACAGGGGGAGCGATGGGCCAGTCAGCACTTCCTTCTTCACCAGAACAAACTAGTATCAGAATTACAGCTGGCAGTTTGACAGCCAAGGGACTGGTTTTATTGAAACTCAAAAGAGTACGGAATAAAAGAACAAATTAACTATCCTATTAGAAACTATCCTTTTTTTATCATCAGGAATTATTTCTCTTCATGAGAAGGGTTTCATAGATGACTCTGTAGTGGGTTTTCAGAAACAGTAAATGGCAAAGAAGAAGACTGTTCATCTTTCTCCCATGGAGTAGCTGATGGACTCAAACCATGTACCACTGGGTTGGCAGCACAGTTCCCTACTGCTAAGCCACCAGAGCTCCTTCAACAACAATAGTTAGATCAACTGGCATAGCTATTTTAAGACTCTCAAAAAACAAACCCACTGCTAATTGATTCCAACTCACAGCAATCTCTGGGACAGAGTAGAACTGCCTCACAGGATTTCAAGCCTGTGATCCTATAAAGATCCTATAAAGTCTGCTTCTATAAAAAGGAGACTGCCCCATCATTCTCTCACAGAAAGGAAGGTGGGTTCACACCCCTGACTTTAAGCGCTTGACCACTGTGCTCCTCTGGAAATGTGCTACAGTGTGGGAGTGTGGGGAGGGAACCAACTGTGTGCTCTAGTCAAAGTACTGCATAGGCCACTGTCCAAGCAAACATGGGCACCTCCAAATTTAATCTTATGGTTGATACTTGTGATTGAAAAAATGGTTACTGCATAGACCTACTTTTGGTGGCGTGCTGCTGAGTCAGAGACCCCTGAGGTTAGAGTGCAATTTCCCAATAAGAGGTTCCTTGGTTGAAATCTGAGGAGCATATTATTACCAGGATTCTAATCACCAACCTTGTGGGTAGCAATCAAATACTTAACCACTGCCTCACCAAGGCTTCTTGTACCTCTCTTTACACACATCCAAGGATGATAAATTGACAGCAGCTCACAGCAACCCTACGGACACGCTGTCCCATAGAGTTTCCAAAGCTGTAGTCTGGAAGCAGCCTGCCATCTGTCTCCTGTGGAGTGGCCACTGGGTTCAAACTGCCACCTTCTGGTTAACAGTCAAGTGATAAACCACTAGGCCCCCAGGGCTCCTGCACTTCTCCCAGAAATAGAGAAATCAGGGGTTAAATACTTACTTCAGTGCAATGGAGTACCTACTGTTCCCTGACTCGCTATTTCGAACCAGGTAACCAGCTTCTTTGCAGGGTTGTAGCCGACTCTCAGCCTCTGCCCGTGTGATAGCCCCATGATACCAACTGGAAAACAGAGAGCGGGGGACGCCAGGAGCATCAGAGCACAGTCAAGGCAGGGCCCGATTCTGGAGGGTTCTGTGTGAAGGGAACGCTTGGTGGAAGCTTAGCCACTAAATGAGCTCCTGCTTCCCATTCAGAATAGATAACACACTGACCTGGGTAACCTGGGCTCACAAAACCCACCAATCCTACAACAGTGAGCTGTTGGGGCTGTTGCACTTTTCAATTTCCACTCTATACACTGTACTAAAAAAATAAACCAACTCAAAGCTGACATGTTACAGAGTTTTCGGAAGTGATAAATCACATAGGCTGCCGGTGGATTTGAACGTCTTTGGTTTAGCAGTGCAACTCCTTGCCACTAGGCCACACTACACAGGAGAAGGAAATTGAAAATAAGGTTCTTGTGAGGTGGTGAACTTTCCATACTGCACATAGGAGCAAGGCTTTAGAACAGGGTTCTCATTAACTAATCCCGCAGATAAGAGTGTTTGTATTTTTTTTTTAAAAGGAGAGTGTTTGTATTGTATCCCCCAAAACATGTAATGGAACCCTAACTCCTATATTTGTGATGTAATCCCATTTAGAAATGGGTTTTCTTTGTTCTGGGAAGGCGGTCCTATCATTGTAAAGTGTACCCTAAACCTCATGACCTATGAGTAATGAAAGGAGGGAATTAGACAGAATCAAGCTCGAGGGGTGAGGGTAATGCCACATAGCGATGATCAAGAAAGAACAGAGAGAAGGCAGTGATTCTTCCTCAGAGCAGAGAGGCTGTATCCACACAGCGGGAGTCCTGGGTTTGGATTTCTAGTCTTCCAAGGGAGCTATGGTGCATGATGGATAGACTTGTACTGCTAATCCAAAGACTACAAGGGAGTCTACAAGACCACCAAAACTACAAGGCGGTTTGGTGGCCTAGTGGGGAAAGAGTTGTGCTGTCAACTCATGACAGGTAGTTCGAATCCTCCAGCTGCTCTGAGAAAAATGAGCCATCTCCTCGCATCTGATTTAAAAAACCCATACTAGAAGGTCTTCTGAGTTGGTTCCAACTCAATGGCAATGAACAAACAACAAACTGTGAGAAAATATATTTGTTTGTTAAAGTTATGCATGTGTGGCATTTCTCTTACAGCAGCACCAAGGAACAAAGACCATATGGAGGAACAGAGACATCATGTAAAATGGACCAGTGTGCAGCCCCCTACCACGCTCCTCTCAGCAAAAACCCACAAACCCACTGTCATCAAATTGATTACAATTCACAGCAACCTTACAGGACAGAGAACTTCCCCAAAGGTTTTCCAAGACTGGAAAATTCTTCTTAAGAGTTGTTGGTGAGATGAGGGAGAGAATAATTTAAAAGCAATGTATGATAGAGTATTATGGTTATCACAAGAGTTCACAATTAAGGTTGCATAGTGGAATGTACTTG